TCTTCTTTGTTCTTCTGCAAGTGTATCGTTGGATTCACCCGAGTATAAGAACTTCAAAATGTTTAAAACAACAGAATAAAGCCAAAGAAGCAAGCAAGGGAAAAACCTGCAGGAATGCAAGATTTTAAAAGCCTAGGATTGTAAAAAGGACTTTGCCTGGTGCCAAGAAAATGACAACATGAGTTCCAGACAAACGTCAGTGCATTCCACAATTGTGCATTCCACAATCAGAAAGCCACAGCTGAGAAAGCCTTCTCAATTCTCTAGTCCTTCTCAATGGACTAGAGCACAAAAAGTCAGCTTCTGTAGATGACCTTAGGATCTAGGCAGGTATACCTAGGAGGAGCCAGTGCTTTGGATGGACCATTCCCAAGCCATTGGGGGCTTTAAAGCTTAATATCAGGACTCGGAATTGTGGAAATGCATGAGAAACCAGTACAGATCATGACGCACTGATTTAATGTGATTTGTACAGGCTTGTTAATAAATTCATTGGGATTAGCTAAAGCTTTGAGACTGTTTTCAAAGGCAGCCTTCTGCAAAGCACACTGCACTAGTCCAAACAAGAGGTGACCAGGCCATGGATAACTAGCTGGGTACTCCCTTTTCAGGTAAGGTCATAGCTGCTATATCAGCCTAAGCTTGCAAAAGGTGCTACATGCCACCAAGGCCACATGTGCTTCCCGTGACAGGGCATGAGCACCCCTAAACTACAAACCAGGTTTGTTCCATGTGTGAGGAAAAAACCCAAACAAGTTCGATAGCCAGCCATTTGAAAGGAACAGTAAAACAGGCTACTCCGTGAATATCTCTCAGCTCTGTTCAGGTTTTGCTGTGGATTTTTGTAATGTTCTGAATGTCTAAACATGTGACTGACCAGGCAACTGTCAGACCAATGGGCATGAGATTCATGGTATGATGCCTCTATATTATTTTGGTCTCCCTTTAAAATGACTGGCTAGTTGCTGATGGAAGGTTTGCCCTCGTTAAAACCAACAGTACAATCCTGCAACTGGTTACACAAAGTTTAGTACTTACTCCCAGGTAAGTATGTTTGGAACTGCAGGCAAAACCATCCAACATTCAGACATATTGGATGAAGAAGAGATGCAGAGTGCACTGAAAAGGAGATGGAAAACCATCACACAGAATCACATTGTATACCTTATGATGTTTGAATGAAAAATGGCTTCTGAAAATGTTGCATTCATTACATTGTTATTGCACTTGAGAGTGTTTCAACTTTTATCCAGGAAGAAAACATTGAACAGCCATATATTTCAATTTAGTTATGCTGGCATCTCCTTAAGGACAAATCCTCTGTTAGAGAAGTGGTTTCTAAGCATCTTACCTCTGTGCATTCTTTCAGAGCCACAATATCTCTTTCATGTTCGAAGGTATAGATCTTCTTATATTAGCTATGCTCCTCATAATACCATTTACAAATTTAATCAGTGCATTTTAATATTCCATATAGTTTAAGTGCAATGCACAATAAATAGCCAGGCTTCCTCTTAAACATGCTTTAGTCCCTAAATTGTTAAAGCTACAGTGCCCTTTCCATCTACTTACATAATGTCATAAAATATACATTTCAAGGTAAATGAAGTCAGCTACTTCAATTTAGTCTCTCAAACTGGTAGTAAATGAGAGGTTAACACTATGGTGCCAAACCCATTATTGAGTAAATTTAGCACCTTGGACAGCTCTGTAAAATCTTTATTGCTTTCCTGACCTGCTCGTCATGTTCTGTCTATGTGTTCAGTGGCTCTCAGCTCTGATTGAAAGGCAATATATTAGATCCTGAACACAAACACGCTCGGGGGCTGGTTCACTGGGAGCGTAATGACACGGAGGTGAGAACAATTTTCTGGTCACCGCAATTCAAGCACCTTGCAGGGTCTGTTGCCGTGGCTTACCAAAGACTTTTTGGGGCTGCTTCATATCTGAAGAAATGATGGAAACTGAGTGAGGACTGAAAATGTCCTAAATTATGCTTACCATGGTGTGGTCCTTATGAGAGACCAATCTGAATACAGGCACTCTGATCATTGTTCCAGGAAAAGCTCAGAATTATCTGTCAAAAGTGTGTTTGCATAACATTTGCTTTGCCTAAATCAACAGTGTCACATGATTTTTATTATTATTATTAACATTTCTATACCTCACATAGCCGAAGCTTCCTGGGCAGATTACAAAAGCTTTAAAAACTATAAAATACAATTGATAAAAACAACAAGAGTTAAAATTAATTTAAAAAGCATAAAAAATTAAAATAGTAAAAGACAACTAAAAAGACCCAGCCAAAAATAAAAGGCACCTGGCTAATTGAATCAGGCCCTGAATGACCAAGGAGGTGTTTAAAGGCTGTCTTGACCTGGCCTGCCTTGCCAAAAAGATGACAAATTTGGTGCCAAGGAGATATTCCAAAGATCATCAGGAGAAGTTGTTTGAAACAGCATGGTGCATAGAGGAAGTTGCTTATTGCAAGGGAAAGACGAGTAAAACACTGCTTAGCTCTAAATTGTAATGGCACTTATTTAGTGTACTCTAGTGGATGACATAGGCTTGGCTTGGCTGTTCTCGTGGTTCACTGTTACATAACTGCTTGAAAATGGAAGTTTAGATTTCTCTGTGTTAGATCCACAACTGCTTCAGCCAATAAAAAGATACCCCTTGCAGAAAGTGACTTCCCTGTGCTTTCTTTGCATATGTGCCCCTGATTTGGAGCATATTGGGGAAGGGGGGTGATGAGGAGGGGGGTTTCTTTCTGCTGGTGGAATGGTGGTCCTGGCCTACACCTGTGTACTTGTATTAAGGCCGTAATCCATGGACCCTTTTCCCCTGGGCAGTTCTGTTTTAGTGAACAACCTATGCAATTCGCATAGGTTGTGAATTGCAACTTGAGTAAATAAATTTTTACTCTAAAATGTATGCTAAGTAAGATGGAAGTACAAATTGTTTTTACTACAACAACACCAACAACAATAATTCAGTTCAAATACATATAACAGTAATATTACTGCAAGTGTTTCAGTCCTGGCATTCCAGGCTGTGATTTCGCCTAGGACAATTTTTCATTTTCAAAGTCAATTTGCCTAAACAAGATGTTTTAGTTTGCTGCGGACTGGAAAAGTCAAATCTGACAAGCAGCTCTTCTTTCCTGTTCTAGAATTTTAATCTTTTACAAGGCAGGCAGAGCTTACCGACATTCTAAGTGGCTCAGCTAAAACTGCATGGCCTGATTCCATATGGGTATCGTGTGCATTCAGTTCGTACCCATTTAAATTATTTAGTGCCTTGGTCAAGATGCACAGAAAAGACAAAGGCTGCAGCTAGTGATCTCTTCAGAAATAATCTCAAATGCATTGATTCAGAATCCATCAATTATATAATGCACCTGGCTGCATGTGTGAAAAATAATTGAAATGTGAATCCGGAAAGGGAGAATATGCAGCGGTTTTAAGGAATGATAAATGTTTACTGGGGATTCAAAACACATGCGTACTTTCTCGTCTCATTTTAAAATTTAGGACATCATGTATGTCATAAGTAGCTACTGCAGTATGACAACTATTTTAGCATATATTGTGGAGAATTGTGGAGAATTTTAAATTGAAAAAATGCTAATATGCATCTAAAAGCTTGTCATCTGAAGAGTTGTTCGAGGATTTTGAAGGTTATGGTGACAGCAAAATGAATGCAATTATATCTCTATTTTCTGATCAGAGACTATAGTATATGAAAATTGAGCATTACTACTTCTTTTGGTTAGAAAATCTAGCTAGTGTATAAAACATTCCCAGTTAAATTTTTCAACTTTACTTGAAAAGTCAGTAGAACTCCCCCCCCCCATTTTGCCTCCTGTTTTGTAGAAATATATTTGGATTCAGCTTTTTTATTATTTTAAGCTGTAGAAAATAATTTTTAAAAAATCAAATCACCTGTTTTCTTTGTTTGTTATTGAACCAGTGGATATCAGTGTGGTATTGTTGAAAGAGATCTTATGGTCTGTAATTTAAATAAATGTTTTTTTCATGAATACCCTTGTAAGTTTTTACATGCTAAACATTTGAAAGCTTATTCAGATGTCCATTTTGAATGCATGGGGATATAGCAAGAGATAGAGAATAAATAGATAGTCCCATATTTATATTGTTAATTTATATTGTTAATTTATATTCTATTTTGAAGTTTATATATGATTGTGAGCCGCCAAATGGGGCAGCATAGAAGTCTCCTAAATAAATAAATAAATAAATAAATAAATAAATAAATAAATAAAATTGATTGTAAAGAAATGTTCAGGTACAGAAGTGAGCTACCCTGAAAATTAAAGGTAGGGTTATGCCCAGAATTCAGGCACTTCTTCTGCCGTAGTTCTAAGTGGCATTTCCTTTCAGAAAATGGTTAGAAAAGTCATTTTTTGGGACTTCTGGTTGTCTTTAAACTCTTTCTTTTCTTTCATAGTGTATCCAGTGTGACTATAGGGTTGAAGCACCTACTCATGACAAAGGAAAATGAGGCATATAAGTTGGATGTTATATTGTTATCAGATCAACTGCATCCCAGAGATAGCCTAACAACATGCTTGATCTGATAAGGTTACTGTTTTGTGTAGCATAAATTAAGAACAAAATAAGATCCATGAAATCCATAACATCCTCTGAGTCAATGCCATGCCAGCAGTCTAACAGATGATGATAGTCCTTATTCTGCAATAAACCCACAAATGGCTTATCATGCAGGCAGTAGGCAATTGACTGACAGATCTTACTTTGCAGCACAAATAAATTTCACCTTTCAACTTCATTAAGCTTCTGTGTTTGAACAAGGTGAACTTGTGATTTAACAATATTCTGAATCCATTAAGTACTGTTGCTTCATAAGACTATTTTGTGCAGAAGATAACGTTGAACATTGAAGCTGCAGACACTTTGCTCTATACAGTTTATTGAACTCATAAAGAACACGTCTCTTTTTTGTCCCTCTCCCAACAGGAAGTAATACTCAAGAGGGCAGCTGATCTAGTGGAAGCACTCTACGGCATGCCACATAATAACCAGGTAAAGCCACTCTTTAGTGCATAGTTTCCAAGGCTGAGTACTTGGCATCCGTGTGGCAGGGAGAGCCTACTCAGCCATACTGTTGTGGAATAACATTTGAGGAAAAAGGCACATGAGAGCACCATGATGGTTTGGATCCTGAGGATCTTGTTCCATCAATAGTGTCTCTTGGATGGAATTAAAAAATAAATAAACTAAAAACTGGGCATCATCTCTCAAATGTCTGTCTATATCAGTGGTTGTTTTTAGTTTTTACGTGGTTATACTTTCAATAGAATTTGAATATTAATGCTTTGCAAATGTGTAATTTGTTCTGGGGGTTAAGGTGGGATTAGTTCATGCAAGCATTCAGCATAAAATTGAGCACAAAATGATATAAGCAAACGGGATATTCTCCTTGGAGTGTCAGAATCATTTTGGAAGCGAAGGCCAAAATAATTCTCACCAAGTGAGGAGGTCACAGTGTCACAGGAATACATGGGTAGGCTCCTTTGACATGAAGACAGATGCTGAAATGTTCTCTTTGTCTCCCAGCAATTACTACTCCAGAGCTTCAATATGCATTGATTCTAGGAAATGATCCTTTACTTTAGGGCAGGGGGAATGTACACATTTTCCAGAGTGGGGAATATATACAGATTTCTTGCCATTGAATCTGCATACATTTCCCCTCCATTTAGTTCCCAGCCTTCCAATCTACATATATTTCTTTGTCAAAAAATAAATAAAATAAAAAAGAGCAACTTCCCCTCCTTGACTCTATAAAGGAGGCACGGTGGGATGGAGCAAATGCAGATCTAACACAAGTGGGACTTGCAGCCCCTCCCGGGTGGTTTCATGCGCTCTGTTCTATGCAGCCACCTTCTCAGGTGTGTTCTCCAAAGAGGAGCTACAAAATGTGTGGGAGATATGGGGAAGTGTTGACAATGTGAAAGGCGGTGAGAACTCTCAGGTCAGCACTTTGATGTACCTCCTTCTCTATCTTTCTTTCCCTTTACTGGTGATTTTCAGCCGAGTACAAATTAGCCTGTGTGTGAGGTTGCCCTGCTGGCCCATCACCTACTGCACGTGCCACTTCTTTTGACAGCTGAAATGGACAAAGACATCAACATGGCTAGTTATAAACTTCACTTGTGCACCTGCAAAACTACAACAACAACATCAAAATTATGAATTTAATGGTCCAAGAGAACCTGAACTGTACATTTTGCAACTCTGAAAAAAATGCAGTGCACAAGAAGGTGTAGCAATCAGACTGGGAAGGGAAAACATGGTAGGTTCTGCTGCAAAGGATATTGGGATAGCAGCTGGAGGACTGAGGAGGAAGGAGTGGGAGAACAAGCCAGGCTGAGCTGAATCATGCTATTAGGTACACCACGAGTTGTCCCACGACCCATCAACCAACCATGGTTTATTTGCAGGGAGGCTTAGCATGATGTGTGAACATGACCATCGATTGTCCACACACATCACTGTAGACTCATTATCTGGTCTTAAATACTATGTTGCCTCTCTCAACACTTTTCCCCAGGAAATAATTCTGAAAAGAGCAGCTGATATCGCAGAAGCACTCTACAGCGTCCCACGCAATCATAACCAACTCCCAGCTCTCGCCAATACATCAGTCCATGCAGGAATGATGGGTGTGAATTCCTTTAGCGGCCAGTTAGCAGTCAATGTCTCAGAAGCATCACAGGCCACCAATCAGGGTAAGATGTAAAAAATAATCCTTTTGTAATTGTAGCCACATCTGAGACACAGGATATCAAAAATGAGGATTCAGATAGCATATATATTTAATAAATGGCATCATATATAGTTCATTGACCTTTTTTGCTTATTTTTATTAGTGTAACATAGAGAACAGCACATGATCCAAATAAAATACAAACTACTTACATAAGCAGATGTCTAGTGTTTTTTTCTTGGTTTTATGTTAACCTGACAGGTACATGGTAAATTAAATATTTAATTGTGTCATTGGATAGTCAATTAATCCAAAAGAGAAGTTTTTAACTAGAAAGTTAATCTAGAAAGTTTAACTAGAACTAGAAAGTTCCCTCTGAGGCAGAAGTTTCCTCACCAAACTGTTTCTGCCATAAACATACTGTGACATAAGCTTATTGGTTTATAGTGTGTCACAAATGGAAGGCAGTGTAGCCAAGAGCCTGAACACGTGGCCTCGTGCTCTAGTTCAGGATGCCCAAGATTAGGTGCGAGGGAGTTTGCTCTCATGTTTAGATTTTGAAGTTTAATTGTTGGATTTCTAAGAACCATGTACATTTAATCCATTTTATACAGCACCTAGAGAAGCTAACAGGTATAAATTCTAAATAATAAACAAACGTTTTCAGAGGAATTCTGTTGCTTCTAGACAACATCTAGTGGGCCATATGATCTTTCAGATTCTCAGATTCGAAGTTGGAAGCAGAGCTGCTCAGATCCCCCTCCTCCCTGATACAGAAGGTTGGCTGCTTCTCAGAGGCAATTCTGGGAAGCAGGAAGGGGAGGAGACTGGGGCTGCTAGGATGGGACATCTCCTGGTGTCCCTTCAGCCTCCTGACCTCCCTATCCAGAGCTCTGGGGTTGCAGGGCAGGAGGAGCAGGGAAGCAAAGATCCCGCCCTTAACAGGATGCTTGTAATCCTTCAGGTTGGAGGCTTCTGGGCATCTCCACTGGGTTGCACTCTCAATAAATTGCTTATAATATAACTGAACCATCATACAACAATGTTTCCTGCACCTTCACTCTCTCACTCCAGAATTGCATTTCTCCTGAAACTTCCTTCAATTTTAGAATAGCAGTGTTCAGGAAGTTTTGAAATTGAGTTCACTCTCTGTTGACAAGCCACTGTCTTTAACTTTCTACAAAAGGTTTTACTCGCAACTCGAGCAGTGTGTCGCCTCACGGTTATGTGCCAAGCACTACTCCTCAGCAGACAAACTACAATTCAGTCACGACAAGCATGAATGGATATGGAAATGCTGGAATGTCCAATTTAGGTGGATCTCCAACATTTTTGAATGGATCTGCTGCCAACTCTCCCTATGCCAGTACGTATGATACAAATTGCACAATTTATACTGAATAGTTGACTTGAATGTCCAAACCTTTTGTAATGAACCTGAGACTGAAATCTTGCATGTACATACCCATCTCATTAGATTCAGTAGGATTTACTTCAGAGTACACATGCACATGATTGCACTGTAAGGACTTCAGAAACATCAGTACAGCTAGCCATTTCTTTAATTGTTATTTTTTGTAGTAGTAAATAGTTGAAAGAAATTCATTGGTTATTGATTTTTCAGTACAATACTTTATCTAGCTCTTTCTAGCCTTTGCTTTCCATTTCCTAAAACAACTTTGTACTTCAGATATTGATATATAATTTTAAGTTTATATTTTATTTAAGGAAAACCTCAGGCCCACATATATGGGGCTCCAAGGATCTCCCATCTAGAAATAAATCAGGTCCACATTTCAAAACATTAGATGATCAGAAGCCCCATTCCAGGAATCTTCTTCCTGTTTGGAATCAGGGGACCAGTGCTCAAAAGGATGCTACTCGGACAATTCACCTTGCTGAACAAGGTTCACAAGTGCAATGACAAGCAGCAGCTTGCTTGCTTCAACTTCACACCAACTTGAGAGCTGGTGTGGCGTACTGGTTAGAGAGTGGGACTGGGACTCAGACGATCTGGGTTCTAGTCCCCGCTCAGCCATGGAGCCAACTGGGTGACTTTAGGCCAGTCACAGACTCTCAGCCCAACCTACCTCACAGGATTGTTGTTGTGGGGATAAGATGGAAGAGGAGAATGATGTAAGCTGCCTTGAGCTCTTTGTAGGGAAAAGGCAGGATATCAATCAAAATAAAATAAAAAATAAACTTAAATAATACCAATAACTGGAAGGGAGTGGCAAAGTAGAGGACTGTCATCCCGTAAACAGGAGGTTGAGATTTGGAAGCCAGCTCTCCATTTCAGTGGAGGAAGTGTAGCAATTGGCAGATTGCATCAGCATATGGGGAATGCTGGACTGGGTCCATGCTATTCAAAGCACCCTGATAATGGGGATTCAGCTCCTTGCTCCTTTTATGGGCAGATTTTGACTCAGTGTGAATAATGAGTAGATTAGCTGTCAATTGTATTAGAGCATAAAAATATTACATAATTGAAAGTGTTGTGCCTCCCCATTACCCCCATTTTATTTAAAACAAGGACCCAGTCATTACTGCTCCTTAAATTAAAAAAAAAAGAAAAACAGAAAGTAGATACAGTTCTGTCTTGCCACAGTTCAAGTTTCTTGAACAGGATTTCTTGAACGGGATGAATCTGACCGAACACACTTAAGAGCCCATTATCGGGCCTATGCTGTGGCGGTGAGGGCGGCGAAGAAGAAATTCTTCTCCGCTTCCATTGCCTCCTCACAATGCCGTCCGGCAGAGCTCTTTTGGGTGGTACAAGGACTGGTTCATCCAGGCCCTAAAAGAGATCCTGTGCCACCCTCGACGGCCCGCTGTGACGACTTCACCAAGCGTTTCAAGGAGAAAATCGCTCAGATTCGTCACGAGCTAGACTCCGCTAGTGACTAGAACCTTTGGGGGAGGTGCCAGTGTTGCCATCTGGTCCACAATTGATGGATGAATTTCAGTTGTTGCGGCCTGATGATGTGGACAAGGTGCTTGGACAAGTACGTCCTACCACCTGCTTACTGGACCCTTGCCCATCTTGGCTACTCAAGAAAGCCAAGGACGGGATAGGGACCTGGATCCTGGAGGTTGTCAATGCCTCTCTAAGGGACGGCCAGGTACCTGCCCCTTTAAAGGAGTGGTAGTCCAGCCAGTCCTAAAGAAGGCATCCCTGGATCCAGAGGTGGCCGCCAATTATAGACCGGTGGCCAACATCCCGTTCCTGGGCAAGGTGCTAGAGCGGGTGGTGGCGGGACAACTCCAAGCTCTCTTGGATGAAACGGATTATCTAGACCCATTTCAGTCCAGCTTCAGACCCAGGTACAGTACTGAATCTGCCTTGGTCGCTCTGTATGATGACCTGTGCAGAGGGAGAGACAGGGGGAGTGCATCCCTGTTGGTTCTCCTGGACCGCTCAGCAGCTTTCGATACCATCGACCATGGTATCCTTCTGGATAGGCTAGTGGGAATGGGAGTTGGGGGCACTGCTCTGCGGTGGTTCTGCTCCCATCTCAATGGCCAATTCCAGAAGGTGGTGCTGGGGGACTATGCCTCTGCGCCATGGCAGTTATGCCATGGAGTTCTGCAGGGGTCCATTTTGTCCCCCTTGCTATTCAACGTCTACATGAAACCACTGGGAGAGGTCATTAGGAGGTGTGGGCTGCGGAATCATCAGTACGCTGATGATACCCAGCTCTACCTCTCATTTTCAACCAATCCAGGTAAGGCAGTAGCTGTACTGAATTGGTGCCTGGCCGAGGTAATGGGCTGAATGAGGGCCAATAAACTGAAGCTCAATCCAGACAAGATGGAGGTCCTGTTGGTAGGTGGTTCGGGCTTCGGGGTGGGGGACCTGGTCCTTGTCCTGAATGGGGTTGCACTCTCTCTTAGGGACAAGGTTCGCAGCTTAGGGGTGCTCCTCGACCCTGAGCTGTCATTAGAAGCTCAGGTGATAGCAGTGGCAAGGAGCGCTTTCCTTCAGTTTCGGCTGATCCATCAGCTGCATCCCTACCTAGAGACCGATTGCCTGGCGACAGTGACACATGCACTGGTAACTTCCCAATTAGACTTCTGTAACGTGCTCTACATGGGGCTACCTTTGAAGATGGTCCGGATACTTCAATTGGTGCAAAACAGAGCTGCCAGGTTGCTGATGGGGACTGGACATTGTTCTCATATAACCCCAGTTCTCCGTCAGCTTCACTGGCTCCCCATTGAAGTTCGGGCCCAATTCAAGGTGTTGGTTATGACCTATAAAGCCCTCAACGGCTTGGGACCTTGTCATCTGAAGGAGCACTTGTGTCCATATATGCCCTCCCACCCCTTGAGATCGGCAGCAGAGGCCCTTCTCTGGGAACCCTCCGTGAAAGATATTAGGAGGGTGAGTACCCGGAGGAGGGCTTTCTCTGCGGTGGCACCCCACCTATGGAATGCGCTCCCCAGAGAGGTCCGCCTGGCACTGTCGTTATTTGTTTTTCGGCACCAGGCCAAGACCCTTTTATTTAAAAGTTATTTTAATTGTTAATTTATGAATTGTATTTATTGAGTTTTTATGTACATGCCAAGATGTTTCCACTTTTTTTAACTCTAATTATATAACTATTTATGTTTATTTATTAAGGTTGTAAGCCGCCCAAGGCTTTTTGCAAATGGGGCAGCATAAAAATGGTTTAAATAAATAACAACAAATAAACAAATTTACTTCTTAAATCCAGTATTAGTGAAAAGATGCATCAGTTCTGGGATATAAGTGGCAAGTTACAATCTATATCTGGAGATCTAGCACCAGGGATGATGGAGGTCTTGGTGAGATGCAGTTGGCTTTCAGGCAAAGGCGAGGGGCAGATACTAGCAAGGTGTGTTAGGGTCAGAGGCAAAGACAGGGTTGGGAACAAGTGAGGCTCAGTTACCTGACAGAGACAGAAGCAGGATTGGGAATGTAAAGCAGCCACCATAAAGGCTATTGATGCTGTGGCAAAACTAGCATGGCTGAGTGGTCTTTTACAGCACCATCTTTGGCTTCCAGCTGATTCCCATGATTGTAGTGGCTCTAATCCCCACAAGTACCTACAGGCCTGATACTGGTCCTGCAAATGCTTGCAAGGTGAGGCAGGCTCCCTCCTCTATCAAGCCACAGGGGGCGCTGTGTTGCTCCTTACAAGATGACCACTTGTGTGATGGGCATTTTCCTGCATGTAACTCCTGCAGCCCCAGTTATGGCTTCAAATCTGCTCCAGTGGTCCCTCAATCCTCTGGAGCAGATTTTGGGGAGTACATGGGTAACTGCAGGAAGGGTTGGAAATTTGATCCACCAAATACAGCCCTCTGATAGACGTATATTAACAGTTGAAACTCTCTACAGCATTAAACTGAATTAACAAGATTGCAGACTGAAATGATAATCTATGGTGATGTATTAATTTAAGCCCTATTCTTGGGTCTTTTAAAAATATTTCAGCCATACGTTATTTCATTAGCCTGGGCTGATTCACCTTTTGAACTGTTTCCTCTTGCCATCATTATTATTATCATTGCTACCATCATCTTCATATTTTTCTGGTGAATCCTCCTGTCCTGCTAATGGCAAATATGTTCAATCAGAAAATGTTTCAATCATGGCCTGAGAATTAGAAAGGTGGCAGTCTTAATTAAATCAATAAACTAATTGCTGTATAGTAGCAATTCAATTTAGGTGCTTTGATTGCTCTGCCTTAACAAGTCCTTGCAGATACTGAGTGACTTTAGACCAAGATTATATCTGTCAGACTGTGAAACTTTGAACATTTAATTTCCATTAATTGATTTCCTCAGTGTTCACAAATATGATATCAGATTCTCACACAAAGATTCTGGGAGGTTGATTTTATCTACATAAACGCAAATGCAGTAATAATCTAAAGCTCAGCTGACTTAAATGTTCATTCACCTCCCATTTAATTATTCATAATCCTGAGCATGAACAGCTTCTGAACAAGCTGAGGAAAAAAGTCATTTGACCAGCATGTGAGTCTTCTCTTTTTTTCAAAGAAATGGATGCCAATGATTCTGTACTAATTTGGCACTATATTAAGAAAAGAAAGCCGCTCTTAAATGATGAATGGGTCACTCAAAGACATGAATCAATGCCTTTCTACAGCATCAGCAGGATTTTGAAAAGTACATCTGCCTTTCAGAATCAAATTATGTATTTACCGGAGTTGATAAAGCTACTTGGAAATGTAAAACTGGCAGTTCCTTCATGTATGTTGGTACAAAAGCGATAGGTGTCAGGCTAACCTAGGTCAAGCCATCTGGGCACCATTATCATTTTCAAGGAGATCAAGGAGGCTTCCAGACAATTAAATTCCATTGAATTCAATTATTTCCAAGTTAGGGTATACAGAATTGCATCCATACAATGCAGTCCTATGTAATATATGTTTGTTTAGAAGTAAGTCAATTGACTGAATGCATAGGTAAGTGTGCTTATAATTGCAACCTTAATCATGAGATGTAGTGGATGCTAAAATAATACTATAAAACAGCAAAATAGTTTTGTAGTATAACCATTTCAAGTTACATTTTTATTTTTTATGGAAAGGTTCAGGACAGCTTTAGAGATTTTTCCCCCAACAAAAACATGTATGTGTACCTGCAATTAAGTAATGGGGAAAGCAGAAATATATAAATACAGTAAGGGGAAACAAAAAGTCTGTAAACAGGCTTTTTTAAAAAACAACAACTGAACAATGGGACATCATCCCAGAATCCTTTTTAGAGTTGCAGAGGTGCTATTTTTGGAATGCATCAAGTTTCACATAATTAGCAAATTTTCCCCAACATTCTTTGTGACATGAAAAAGGATCCTAGGATTTGCCTCTTAGACTGAGCTATGTGCAGCAGCATATGTGAAATGGAACACAGGTGAGGGTTTTAATGAGCAAGCAAGTAATAGGGCTGAGAAGATTGTGAAAAGGCCCACAGTGGGGTGAGATCTGGGATGCTTTTCAGAACCCCTCTGGATAGTTCCTATACAGAATAGTAACCACTTCAGCACAGCTTCTTCCTGCATCTCAGAGATAATATCAGAAGTCCTGAGTCCCGTGGGAGAAAGAGGCAGCAGCGGTGGAAGCAGTACTGTTTATTTCATTTCTGTACTGCCCAGTATTCAAAACTCTCTGGCCAGTCCAACAATTCATAAAACATAGGTACAATAATCAAACGCAGAACAAAATACAAATATAATCCAATACTGCATACAATCTCAAAGTACAAAATGTAAACGATTAAACAGTGAAATCAGTGTTCACAAAAAGCACAAGCCATCTTATGCCTGGGAGTAGTGGGCAGCCTTAACCTGTTGCCAGAAGAGATGACAGCTCCATGTGGACTCCCATGGAGTGGGAGAAGCGCCCTTGTTGCTACCTTCAGAGCCACTCTTGCAGATGGCACCAGGAGGGAGGTCCTCAGATAATGTCAAGAGGCACTCAGTCTTGTGAGCATTTCCTTCTGAGACCATGGTAAGAGCATTCCGTCTTTGTTCTTGTTTCATTCCAGTCGTGCCATCCAGCCCAACTATGGCTTCCTCCACTAGTCTCCCTTCCAACTGTAGCAGCTCCTCCGGGATCTTCTCCTTCTCACCAGCCAACATGGTCTCAGCGGTGAAACAGAAGAGTGCTTTTGCCCCTGTTGTTAGACCGCAGACTTCCCCTCCCCCTACCTGTACCAGCACCAATGGGAATAGCCTGCAAGGTAGGCCAATCGTGGCATGTTTCTGTTTTATGGCACTTTATTTCTTTGCATCGTGTCAGAATGGTTATGGATCTTTGATGGTCTAGAACATGGTGTAAGGCTATGATGTCCATGAGTCACTAATATTCACCTCATTCCCTTGCTTGGCCTCATCCTCTTATTGTCCTGTTGAACTGAGATGCTGTGTCTTTAAAAGCATGGTCTGAGTGTATGCTTAAAATGAGTAATAATGCAGCTTACTAACACCCGCCTTTCTTTTTCTTTCCTTCTTATTCCTTGTTGCTGTCTTTTATTAGACCAGTCTTTTGTGGACTCTAGCAAGTACTCCACTGCAGGGTCTCTCCAGGGTCTGGCCTTCTCCTGAAGTACGTCAGTCAATCTTCCCTTCCTTTTTTTGATTTTGTTCTTCCTTTGGCATGTCCACTGTGCAAAATCTCAACTAATAGCAGCAGTGTTTGTGGGGGCCATCACTGAAAACAGGCCAGGGCAACATTTGATTTTCATATGAAAGCTTATTGCTAAATATACAATACCAACAATATTTATGTAAGGCTTCCCTTCTTCTTACCTTGCATACCACTAGCTATTCATGATTAATGTACTGATGTAAGCTAACTTACCTTGCAAACAGTACTATGATTCTTCGAAATCATCTTCAGATGTTGGCAATCTTCTCTTCGATGTCATGATATAGACTTTTGTAGATGCCTTCCTTATTACACCGTTCACTTTCCATAATCCACATACAGAGCAATCACATGAATATGGATTTCTGGCATATCTATGTATCTTGGGTAGCTGCAAAATTTAGAGGGTGCAGGAAGGGCTTTGCCACAATTTCACAAGGGGCATCAACAGGAACGATGGAACTGGCCAGGGCCCACTGGCCACCACCCGCAGGTTCACCAAATATTTGCAAGTTTTCAAGGTCTATAGAACTCTTAATTGGCAAGAGGTTATGCAAAGGTATGGATATTAGTGGGATAAGGTAGGGAAAAGCTTGATTTGATAGTCCCATCTCTTGCATGTTAAGAGTCCCAATATGAAATGGGGGATTTGTTTCATACTGGGATTTCATCTTTTTCTGCTTTAACTGGAGCTAAACCCAACTCCAGCTGAGACATAATGATGTCACAAATCCATCTCAAGAGATCCCTCTGGGAGTTTTTGTTTGTTTGTTGTTCACTAGCAACTTCCTTGGAAGATGCATGATGTAATTGTACTTGTTTGGATTCAGAACTGACTAAGGAAAGACCCAAAATCAGATGTTGACATTCAAAATGCTGCATAGGCCCATTCAAGGACTTGCTCCCAATCCAGGAGAATTTCCAAATTAGAAAAAGATGACGATGAAGAAGCAGAAGAAGTGAAAAGCTGAACCCACTCCCACTATATTGTACTTCTTAAAAAAAACTTCTCCATATTTTTAAGACAGAGAAAGCTGCTCTTTGCAAAAAATTATTTGAAATGATATTCCTTGGGCTTATACAACTAGCTCTCTGGTTCTTCGAACCTTAGCCTCTCTTCCATTTCCAGAAGGAGCCAGCTTGTGTACATAGGAAGGGTGCCTAAGTTAGTTCTAGGCTGGCAAGGGAGAAATGCCAAACCAAAGAGATGCAACCAGAGTGGTAGAAGTGGAGTACCCCAGGCATTTCTTCCATGTCATGCCAGAGCATTCAACACGCTCTGACATGACAGGCTTTGTCCTATCATCTATCAGCATTCCTGTATGCTTCTAGCAGAGGTCTGTCTAAAGCTGCATCAACACTGAAATGGAACCAGGCCTACGCGTAGATACGTCTCTTTCAAGGATGTTTTTTCAGGGATACATGCCATCATACCTACATTTTAAGAGGCTGTTGTGCTGTGCATATTCTAAAATCATTTCTCATCTGAGCATAGGATTGCACACCCAAAACGAAAATATTCAGTTGACATCTCATGACCATGTGCCGTGTAGAAGCAGAATCCTCCAATTCCTTGTTTGCCTGCTGTACGGCTGCCCTACTGTGCTTAACCCTCCCCCATAATTACTGCACTGCACTCTAAAGCTCTGAGAGGAGTACACATTTTCATGCTCACTTAGACAAGAAGGGTTCTCATAATCACCAACTGCCTCAAACTGTGCTGGAGGTGGAAGAGGTTACTGATGCATGCTGTAGCCCACCTCAGCCCGGGATTTTCTTGCTTCCTTTTCTTCTGTCTGTCTGTCTGTCTGTCTTCACAGAACCCGGTGACAAACAGAAAATAACGTCTCCATTGCCTAAAGCCATTTTACATAAGGTTTATTTAAGAATCAGCTCTTCCAAATGTTTCTGATATATCCAAGACCCTCTGGGTCATGCTGTGTGCCACCGAAAGTGAGCAGCCAGCTTGCAGCCATTGAACATCCTCAATATTAAATGTATCAGCAGAAAGGAAAGCACTTATTCCTAAACAAAAGGCACTTACCATATCTAAAGATAAATGCTATATCTAGCACATTAGAAGCTGAAAAATCCAGGGCATAAATCTTCAGGATAAAACAAGTTGCAGTGGTTTGTTTTACCATAAAATATGCAGAGAACTGATCTTCTGCAAGCCTCACTTGGAATGAATGAAGTTTGCGTGGGTGATGCACTAGAAAGATTGTACCCAAAGAAAATAAAGAAGTGAACGTGTTTTTAACTTTTTTCCCCTGGTAGTTTGGATTCACAGTTTAAATTAAAAAGCATTCTACATTGTCAACAAATTTCCCAGTGGCTAAAGAGGTCCTGACCTCCTTCTGCTAACAGCACAAGTCAGTATAAAAAGGAGAAACATAGCTGTCAGAAAGTGTCAGCGCAATTCAATGGTTGAATATGGGCGCAATTTGGAAGAATATATTTGATCAACAGGTGAACTTTGCCCGGCCTGTGGACAGGTATGCCCTGCTTTAGCATCCCGCATTAGGGAAGCCACCAGATAACCTGGCCTGCAGTTGCAGCTCTTTCAGTTTCCCCCTGAAATAAGAGAGAAGGCAGCCGAGGCTTCAGGCACACCTGAACTTGTCCTTGCCACAGCGCAGATGGGAAGTAATGGCAGGGCAATGACGTGTGCGGGTGGGGAGAGCTGCAATGGCATTGTCTCCTGCCCTGGTGAAAGATTCCAAGGGCCGTGCCCGGTGCCGGGGGAGCAAAATGGCCACCCACTTTTAGCTGACTGCAAACAATCAATCTGTAACTGACTGTGAACAATCGATTGAAATTGAAATGATCCACTGCCATCGGACCAGCCCATTTATTGTAAGCCACCCCGAGACATTCTGTAGGGGAAAGGATAGAAAAGCTCTTAACTAACAAACAAACGCAAACAAACAACTAGCTAGCTAGCTAGCTGTGGCAATATTACCAGCAGTAGTTTTGTTGGACTCAAACACAGAAGTGGAAATTTCACAGTTGCACTCACAAATCTATATTAGTGTAAATTCTTCCTTAGGTCAATCAGCAGAGCATGATAATTGTGTAATCACATACATATGGTTTTCTGGGGAGTGGGGGCATGGGTTAGGGGATGGGAAAAAGCTGGCTTGCTTATGAAGTAACATCTTGTAACATTCTGTAACATCTTTCCTGAGGGAGAGGTCATTTTCTCGTTCACCTGTTACACTAAGATGGATTTCAGATTTTTTCGTACGGTCAACATGGTAACCTTTGCCTTAATTTGCAAGGTATCGTACAATTATACATGTTCATGCAATGCATAGGAGTGATGCAAATCTGCATGGATTTATACTGCTCTCTATGTTTTCTGAATGGGAAAATGTAAAACACAGTCGTAATGATGATCATACTCATCTTTTATGCAACAGAGATTCGGATTGGATTTGCAAAAGTGTCCATCTACTCTGGTGGATAAGTCTCACAGGTATGAATGCCAGGAGGCAGGCAGCCTTTGCTACAAAAACAAGGGGGTAGCTGTCACATATCCCTCGCGGAGACTGCTGATCATGTCACATCCTCCTTTGAAATGCTCAGGCAGCATATTCACAATCAGCTTTCATCCTAATTTTGGTAGCCACTCTTGTCTTCTAATATAAGCGTGAAGCTAAGCTAGGTAGGTCATCCTTAGGACACGGCAGAACTTCTGTAATGAGCTAACAGAGATATTTGCCTTCAGCATTGTGCCATTTTACACCACCCAAGGCATGCAATAACTGCTCAGAAATGCATGACCTATTGTGCGTTATTGCTTAAATAAATTGCTGTGTGAAAGGGGCGTGTGACTTCTTTCTCTTGGGGCTTTGAGAGCAATCAAGTTTTGCTTATATCATTTAGAAATCAACCAAAGTTTTTAACCGTGTGGTTTGTCAGACATAAAGTATACATTTGCTTTTTTCTTCTTCTATGATAGAGCATCCTCACCAAAAAAAAAAAAAAGAGAGAGAGAGAGAGAGAGAGAATAAAACCCATTCGTGTCCATTTTTAAAAAAATCTTCCTTTTGTCACGTTGCCGGGGGAAGAAAATCTGGTGATATTTCCCTTTACAGAATCAATTTCACATTGAACCAAGAAAAAAGCCTAGGTGGTCTCGTTACACAAGGCACTTAAAGTACAAAAGTAGCATGATAAGGCCCTGGCAGAATGGAAATATGAAACCTTTTAAGCAGGAAGATATTCAGAATGTCATTCTGCCTTTTGACTTGTAATTTAATTCAAAAGTATTAGGCTTCTTCAGTAATAATAATGATAGCCGTTCTTTGAAAAACCTACTTGTGTACTGTATTTTATGCCATTTCCCTTCCACTGGCACAGTCTCTTCCATTTATCTACTGAGAAATGTTAAACTTGCCTAAAAGGAGGAATCATCTTTGCTTAGAAAATTATTGTAGAGTTACCACAAATGGCCAGCATGGAAAATCTGCAAAAACATTTTTATTTTCTGCCAGTTGCTCCTATATATCTAATAGCTTGGTTATGGTGGATTAGAAAGGGCAGTCAAGAATATCTACATGGGAAGAGGTGCAGGAGCGCCAAAGATTA